CTTCTAACTTCTGTAAGTCAACAGTTAGCCAAACCAAGTGAGGCTGGTAATATACTTCGCCCTGCAAGGTCAATCTCGTCCGACCAGAGGCGTTATAACCACGTGATCTTCCACGCGCCGGAGTCCAGCACCCCACGTGCGCTACGATTATGAGGTTTTTACGGTCTCATTGACAGACTCGACGCAGATGAGGACCCGGTAAAATTGAGGCAAATTACCCGTCTTGGAAAGCAAGGTGATCAACAAAATCGGCCTATGAGAATCAGTTTTGTGGACGAAGCCAGGACAAGACTGATATTGTCCCGCCTAAGTAGGCTGAAAGGTTTGAAGATCTATGTTCGTCCAGACATGGATTCATTAGACAGGGAGCGGCTCAAGTCTGCCACCATTGAGCTGAAAGGAGGTACTGGTGAGGGGGAAACAAATCTTCGTATCGTAAATTTTCTTGAGGTTTCCAGGAATCTGCGAATCAGGATAAACAGGCTGCTCACACTTCAAGCACGCCCGGTGGCTTCTGCTGCGGCCTGCGTGTAGCCTTCACAAACGTTTGCAGTGTTATGAACAAGCGCGATGAGATTTGTTGTTTTGTTGCGTCTGCGCTGCGAGACATAGTGGGACTCGCAGAGACGTGGTTGCATTCAGAATTATATACCCAGGAACTTGAACTCAACGGTTGCGCTTCCAATGCGATAGACTAACGAATGCCCGCGGTGCTGTCTTGCTCTACATCCGGTCTTCCCTGCGTGGGAGACTTGTGAGCACCTACCGAAGTGACGATGGTTTGTGTGAGCTAGTGTGGTGCTTCATCCGCCTCAGGCGCGGAGAACTACTTGTGGGTGCAGTTTATCGCAGCCCCTGAGTAGTTGTTTGGATTGGCTGTCCCATCTTCAAACCCACATGAGTCATCCACATTTTCTACCTATTGGGCTCTTTTAACTGTCCTCGTATACCATGGCCTGATGTGCATTTGATGCCTGGACATGATGAAGTTGAAGCAAAGTTTTTGGATTTGGTATTTGAAACTGGTGCATCGCAACACATATGCCAGCCAACACGCATAACACCACGCTCAACCCCGTCCTGTCTCGACTTGATGTTAATGAGCTACGAACAACGAGTGCGTGACGTTCGGATCCTGGAGCCTCTGGCTACAAGCGACCACTCAGTGCTCATAGCTGATATGGAATTACCTTTGCCGTATTCACGTCCGCTGGAACCAGCTTACAACTACTGGAAAGCGGGCTTCGAGAGTAGCTCGAGCCGCGAGCCAACTGCATTGGTGTCTCTCACGAACTGCATCTGGGGAAGACTTAGATATTTATAAAAGAGTGATTAACATCATTGGCTTCCCAATTTGTGCCCTTGAAATGTCGGAAGATTGGACCGATTAAGCCTCCTTAGTTTGACAAGGAGTATAAAAATCTGGCTCGGAGGCGGCACAGACTGTGGGACAGATTTCTCCTCTCTGGCTCTGCCAATGACTACGAAGGGTATAAAAGTTAGCGGAACCTCTGCAACAGTGCAAACGTGAATAAGCACTGACATTTCGAGGAACAGCTCGCAATCGCCGCGAACACCGCCCCAAAGAGAATCTTTGCTTACGTGAAGCGACGCCTGAACCCGGCAGGTGATGTGCCAGTGTTGGATGCCCCTGACAGACAACCTAACCTCCAGCACTGAGCGTGCGTCCACGTTGGCGGCGCACTTCGCCTCTGTATTTTCAAATGACCAGGTACCTGTTCCGAGTTCGACGCGTACTGCTTTTACCGAACTCGACCGTCTGGATTGTGACGTTGAAGACGTATGTCCACTAGTCACCAGCCTTGACGGCATCAAACCTGCCGGACCTGATGGGCTTCACCCACTGATTCTCAAGTCACTTTCAGCCATCATCTCTCCTGTCGTGACTGACCTTCTCAACAGCTCGCTGTCCGTAGGTTCGTTACCGATTGACTGGAAAGTTCGGTGGTGAAGCCTATTCCGAAAGGCGGCGACTAGAAAAGTAGACAACTACAGGCCAATTTGTCTGACACCTATTTTGGCAAAGGTTCCTGAGGAAATCGTGAATAAGGGATTGCTGCAGTTGCTACAGTCAACGGAGGTTCTGACGTCCGCACAGCACGGTTTTGTGCAAGGCCGCTCATGCATTAGAAACCTGCTTGCGACGAGGCATGAGTGGTTGAAGGCATTAAGCAAGGGGAAGTCTGTCAACGTGACATTCATCGATTTCAGTAAAGCATTCGACAAGGTCAGCAATGAGGTTCTCCTTCACAAACTCATGATGTATGGTGTCGGTAGCTCACTGCACCGGTGGCTCCGCGACTTTCTTGTCGGACGAAAGTGGAGGGTACAGGTCGACGACCATCTAACTGACTGGTATCCCTCTACAAATGGCGTGCCTCAAGGCACTGTGCTGGGGCCCACTCTGTTCCTGATCCACATCAACGATCTACCTCAGCTTCTCCGGTCGCCGTGTGCCTTGTTTGCGGACGACATGAACGTTCGGAGAGAAATTGACGCTCCTGACGACTGTGGCCTACTTCAGCAAGATCTCAACCGCCTATTCACATGATCTGCAGAATTTTATCTCCCGGTCAACCCAGCCAATTCTGTATTTATGAACCTGGAGAATTCATTCATTCATCCATTGTACACGTTAGCTGCAGGTGGAAAACACCTCAGCTATTGTGCCGCAATACAAAAGACAAGAAGAAGAAGAAAATAACTGTGGCACACCGGCTGAGTCCCCAGTAAGGGATGGACATCGTTCCAGGGAGTTAACAGCCGGCTGTCGTGTCGCAAAAGGTTATACTATGCCTAACGATTCAGATCGTGATTGGAGGAGGATGGACAAAGAAACTCACAACACAAACGCCAATGGGACGGGCTCCTATCCATATCAGTAAGTGTGTCCAACCAAACGTGTTCATCGTCCTTAGGACCCCAGCCAGGTAGTCTGGATCCACCAACTGACGCCAACTTCGAAGTGAGGGTTTTCATTTCTCTCGACCAAGTCATCGGTTGGCTTCCCCTCCTTCTCTTCTAATCACAACCCCGGCGCGCAAACTATGCACGTCACGGGAGTCGGTGTGCTGACATGTGCAATACGTGGCTCATCCATCGGAGCCTGGTGCGTGATATAATGGTGCTGATCAGTTCACTCGCTCTTCCTGCACCAGATATGCGACGCCAAACACGCTCATTTCTCACGCGGTGCTCTCACCAGATATGAGCTAAGCTACGAAGGCAGCGATGATCGAAAGCGGCGAGCCTCTTTATGTCTGTCGACCTGATGGGCCAGATTTCACAACCATATAGGAGACTTGAACGGACGGCTGATAACGGCCGAACCTACACCCTTGACGGCCAGCCGCTATATCCCACACCCTCCGTAAAGGACCTAGATGTACTCTCGTGTTACGATTCGAAGTCCGTGGACAACACCAACAGGCTGTATCGTAACGGGCTGCGCATGCTTTGGGCGCTCAAACGTAGCTTCGGCACATGGTCTCTAAGGTTGACACTCGCCTGTTCTCTTCTATCATTAGACCAATGCTAGAGTACAGTTCGCCCGCCTACTTTCCGATTACCCGAGGCGAGGCACAAAAGATAGAACAGGTCCAACACGTTGTTATCAGGCTCATCCCGAGTTTACGTGACTTGTGTTATGAAGACCGGTGCGAGAAACTAGGACTGTACACCTTGTCCTACCGTCGGGTTCGAGTTGACTTCATTATAACCTACCGTATTCTACCTCTCGGTGACTTCCCCATGCTGAGGCCTATGCTGCACTTACGAGGGCCATGCAGCACACGCGGACAGATACAAACTTGTCATCCCGGATGTGAAGCGAGTTCCCCACACACTGCTTCGAACGGAGAGTGGTAAATATTTGGAACAGTTTGCCTGAAGATGTGATAGAGGCAACATCTGTGCAGCACTTCAAAACGTTGTTATATTTATATTTTACTATTATCCGAATCAGAGATCGATTGCACACTTACGATAGCATCCCACATTTGTGAGTCCTGCAATACCTTGAGTCAGTTATCTTAAATGCTACATGAGAACGATAACAATATTCACGGCTGACAATTTTTCTAACTTTTTTCACCATATTTCGAAAGAGCTATACAGAATTCATTTCTACTTGCTCTATAATACAGTGTTCGGTATTCAGTTTATCTACCTTTTTCTTGTTTTTCTACATTAAGCTCACCTCCAAATTTAATGGATTGCCCGTAGAGTCTCTGGTTGACTTCTCGTTACTAAGAATTTTGCCGCATGTAAGAACTTTCCATTGATCCTCTTCGCTCTTTGCACGATGATTTATCACAGACTGTCTTTTGTTCCTCTATGCTATATAAATTTAAGGATTCCTTTTCTCTCATATCCTATCACAACTCCATCTTATCGTAGTTATCCCATTTTATTGCGTTCTCCAAAAAGTTTATCAATGTACCTCACGACCATTTACTTGGGTGACATACATTCGTAGTTTACTTTTCACATATAGATTGTGAATTTAGATTAGTTATACCCCATTACTTCCGCAGTACTAGTATTAGGTGCTGAAGATGTTTTCTCCGGGTGCATAATGCCTATTTTGATTTTGAATTGAAATCAGCTTGGTACTGTCATTCCACCAACGGTGCTTTATCACTGTTTCTCCTTAAGAATGGTCGGTACTGTTTTGGAAACATTTTGCGTGCAGTAAGTAGAGAAACAAACCTTCTTTGACAATCGAAGGCGTCCGGACGGTCAAGTATTTTCGTTACTGCATCTCTGGCTTGATTTCATTTAACGCACATTTATCCGTTTCTGTAATTACTAACTAAGGAACGAGGTCTTTTGGAATAAACGTTTATTTTCGCTGTAAGCTAAATGGATATATGTACCTGAAGTAGGGTCATCACAACTAGTGGTGATGTGCACTTAGACCGTTGTAGCAATGTTAACTTCCTTTTTTACTCATCTGCCATTATTTTCTTTCACTTCAGCCCACAGTTATCCTGCGGCTATGCTTTCTCGGAGTATTAACTACGAAACGGCAGCCATGCTCGCGTTCCGCAACCAACCCGGTCGAATCATCGTGCTGTACGATGAAGACGAGCGCATCGCACCGCGGGCGGCAACCACGTTGGTACAGCGAGGATACTCCAACCTATATCTCCTTTCTGGTGGACTGAAGGTACCGTTCCGTTCACACTCTATGGCTCATCCCGGATTCACCTCAATTTTGAGACCGAACTGTTATCTTATTTCCTAGTGCTTCTTGCAGTTCATGGAGAAGATTCGCGGTAAAGTGAAACTTCCTCCAATCATCTTATTGTGAAAATCAGGGATATAGGTAACCCGTATGCACAGGCGATCTTCTAAGTGAAACACGTGGCTTAGTCAAATTGGGGGGACGCTAGGTCGACGGTTATCCGCACCAAAGCCGTTTCGCCCGCTTTGCGTTGCATGACGTTCTGGTGCCACACCAACGGGCAATCGTTCCTGTATGTCATGATATTTCCCTGTTGCCATGCTGTCTGCGAAACTGAGCGAACTTTTTCTAGACGCAAAGGTTTGCAGCAGCACAGGTAATCGATTGTGCGCATTTTTTATAGGCACTTCACTATTTTCGACATGGTCTCATGTTGTTCGGCCTATGACAGGTATGTATCCCTCGGATGTGCGAGAGGCTTTCTCTGAAATAGAGACAGATCATTAGTAAGGAAATCATCATATCCATGCAAGTGTTATATATGAATTCAGCAATTCACTTATTCTGAAATACATGACTTTGATTGGTGTTTAGTTTTATTCATTAGCTTTTCTCATTGGCTCTATATTCACTGAGCTATCTTAAAAAACTCATTTTGTGATTTTCCCGACAGAAACTTGGCTATTGGCGAGTTCAGATCCAGGAAATTCCCAAGTTTAGTGTGGAATGCGCTTGCATTTATACATGACCTGATAGTGGATAGTAGGCTATTCCACAGGACAGGTTATCTGATGAGGAAGAAGTTAGCTGGAATGGCTGTCCTGGCTCTTCGTCCAGTTACGTTACAGTTCTAATGTAATGAGATGGAAGTTTAGCTTTTTGAGATTGTTCATGAACATCAAGTTTTATTTCAGTCGTCACAACCAAAGGGGCTCAAGATAAACTTGTTAGCAACGCTGCTTATAGTGCAAGGTAGACAATTTATTGAACAATGTTTAGTGAATGATCTTTGTAGGTTTTCCAGAGCTTTTTTGCGACCCCTCCGCAGGTTTCTACAAATAATGCTGCAGTAGTTAAGGATGGTAAAGGTGAGTATTTTGAAAAGCTCGATTTTCGCAGTTATTGCATGGATTTTATGGCATATATTGGGCATAGATCGCTTGGCGGACACTTTGATATCCGGCCTGCTCTGAGTTGTTTAAAGAGTATCATCTTCCTAGATCACCATTAGAACATGTCAAGAATACATTAAAAGGTTATCCAAGATAGCCTAGTATGTTAACATTGATTTCCTGGATGCAGCCGCGAGTCTGATGGTGTTGTTGTGTCTGGGTCAGTCATTCGACCCACCAACCTGGTTAGGGAATCTCCCGTGGCGGCGAACGGTTCGGCAGCATTGTTCCAGGAAGTGCTAGGTTTTCGTCTGGCAAACATTTTCTCCATTATAAGTCACAAATGTTTCCTCAACAACACAGCGACGTGACGCATGAGACTTGTCACTATACAAAGTCACAACCCCTTGTCTTCCTCGGAGATATTGTGCACCGGCAGTCAATCCAAACATCCGGTTAGTGCAGACAAACGTACAGGCCAACTTAAATGTGAATGTACCACGTCGACCGCATTATTGGCCTGGGTTAGTAAATCGAATCGGAAACAGCGTGTTTATTAAGCGCTGCGCTGATGATGCTTACCTATTCATCTGACTGGGCTTTTAGATGTTGGTCCCGCGTGGACACCAAACCGGCTTGGCTGAGGCACTCGCAACCGCGCCTGCTATGGCACCATGCGCTCGACGTCCATGGGCTATCCCCCATCGGCGCCTGTCGTTACCGTACACAACGTTTCTCCTCCGCACGTACTAGTGATTTCTCCTGTACCTGGACAATCGCCCTCTTGATCAGCTCATACCATCCGCATCGATCAACTACTTTTGATTCCAAACACCTGAAGTCAACATTAGTTCGTGATAAACTCACCTTGATCATATCCTGTTAACGTAACTTAGGTTTTCCCGCGTGCCGGTTTCCTACACCAAGTTGTCCATGTAGCAAGTGTTTCGGTATCCGGGTCGAATCCATACGGCGTCCATGCCGAACCAACTTAGTGCCTCAGCAAAATTATGCTGTCCACTGCCTACATGCCATTTTGGTGGAGCAAATTCCCAGCGGATGCGCACAATACGACGCAGACATTGTTGGTGAAATCGATCCAAATAGCGAATGTTTTTCCCATATAGCGTCCAGATTTCAGTGGAACATTGTTATAATACGAATAGCAAAGCCAAAGCTTGACAAGTCCCGTAGGATGATTTGTGTGAAATAACGTTACTTCAAGAAAATTGCACAAAAGTTAAAAAAAGCATCGGTGGACTCACCATATTACCCACGTTAATACATAGGTATTTCCGTTTGCTTTGAGTTCGTGGGGTTGGTAAGCACAATGTTTGCGTCTTGTTGTCACTCAAGGAACAGAAATCAGATCAAGTAGTGTAAATCATGGAAAGCATCATCGAATCGTTTTTTAAAAATGGGTAGCGTGGGCGCAGAAATGACAAAAGTCGAAAGAGCCTTCCACGGTTGACAAACTCGAAGGGAAAAATGCTCCCGGCGGCATTCCAGCCGACTTTATTGGATGGCAAGTTTCAACTTATGACCCCTCAATTCTGTGTTGCGGCTGAGTGTCAGGAGGTGTCAGCAGGTGTGACCGAGATTTTTCAAAATCTGTAACGCCAGGATATGGTCACTCCGTAGACGGCGGTATCTGCCGCTGTACACTCCTAGGGCTCTCAGTCACCTATGGTATTGCAGGTAGGACAATCCCTTCACATTCTGCGTTGCTCTTCGCTGGACGGTCTCCAGTGCAACCAGGGTGCCAGACCTGAATCGCGTACTCTACATGGGGCCTCACATGCGCACTGAGCATTGGGGGAAGATGGAGGGATCGAACCTCCAGAACACCCTCCGTAACAGACCACCATGTTAGTACGCAGTTTTGGACGCCTTCAAGGACTGCGCCGACCAGCCGAGATCATCTTGCATCACTACCGCATGGTCTCGCTCTTGTGAGGCGGTTTTCACCATATCGTCTCCAATCTTATATGCGTACGTGGGCTTGTGGCGGACATGCACGGTTTCGCACTTGTCCGTGTTAAACTGAAGTAGATTTTCCTTTGACCATTCAAAGGCGTAGTCGTTGCAGCATATCGTGATCTTCCTGACAGTCGATTGCTCGCCATATCTTGATGTCATCGGTAAAAAGCAGGAACTTTGACTTGATGATACTCGATACTTGATGATACTGTCCTCACGCACAAGCGTAGCACAGTGATTAGGATGCACAACATAGTTACTCCAGTTGTCAGAGCTAGCGTTCGCTCTTTATACACATGCCATGCTGCGTCTCTTACTGTCATATGTTTTCGGGTTCTGCTCCGAATGGATGACTGTGATCTTGCAGAAAGAAGGAGTTTGTTGTCCGATGCAGATTTCATCAGATCACTGAACTTGCCAGTAAACTCCATCCAAACACTGTCAATGGAATAGTCGTGCGGAAACTCCCAGTGGGCATCTCCCACAAGTTCTGCCAGTTTGTCGTAGTGAGTGGTTGTTAGAAACAACTTACTTGTTTTTGTGTATACTCCGCATAACAGACGAAGTCGTAAATTACGGTTACGTGGTCGCTCCGCCCCAAAGGACTTTCCATCCTGGAATTCTCAATCAAGAGCTCTTCGTTCATGAGCACTAAATCGAACACAGATGGTTTAATTTCAGCTCTGAATCGAGTGGGCGAACTGACATGGCTGAAGAACGTGATGCTCGCAATAAGCTCTTGCAGGTCTTCCTTTAATTTCTCGTTGGGGATGCCAGAACTTCCCAATCGTGAATATTCAAGTCGCCGGAGATGAGAAAATGGCTATATCGTCCTCGTAGGATCCTTCCTAAGAATAATGTCAGGCGGGAGTCCATCTCTGCGGTGGGTGTTGCGGGACGATAAACAGCGCCAAAAAGCAAGCGTCGTTACATCTCAGTCGCAGACTGCACCAGAGTGAGTCTATGGTCAGCATTTCCGGATCGACCACCGGTTTGCACTGCTGGTCTTTGCAGTTGTACAACAGTACCCCCCGCCCTGGATAGGGCGATTGTTTCGGAGAAGATACATACCATTTATCGCGACTTCAGCATTAGTAATTTCTGAGTGTAACCAACTTTCCGTGACAAATATGAGATCCCAGACATGTGATCCTTGACGTAGCCGCAGTTCGACAAGCTTGTTTAGGAGGTCTTGTGCATTGGTGTACATGCAGGAAAGTTTCGCTGTTTTGAACAATGAATCGTGGGATGCGTGTTTTGGATAAAATGTTGTGCCAACCGGTGAAAGGTCGGCCACCAATCGTTTTTGGAATTTGGCGATGACAAACTCATCTGTGTCCGATTAATGGATCCTACCATTACCTCTTTGCTTCTCTCTTTGTGTGTAATGTATGGGGTGTGTTTGCCAGTTTCAGTGGCCAGTTGATTAAGATTCTCCGAACTCTTGTCCGGAAGTGGTGCTACTAAGTGGCTGCTCTCCCGTGTTTGCTTAGCATATGCTGCTTTGTTCCGGATCTCGGATGGAAGGCTACTGCGGCCCACATACCAGCACTCCATCACCACTGCTGACATTTGTCTAGATTAAAGGACCAGTTCCACAATCTTCGGGCCACATCCTTTGTAGTTTGACGATCGGCGCAGCCTGGAGATAGATTGCGCCGTGACGTCTTCCAGGGATTGTCTCGCGAATATATCGCCTTTGTTTCTGGTCGTGAATAGTCGCTTCGCGCTCATAATGACTTTCAGCCTCGAAAACGCTCTATACCAGGATGGTCTTGGCTGCGGATTTGTTCCGGTTTTCGTCCAAGTAGTGCTTCGCCTGTCTGCGCTCGCTCCTCGGAATATCCCGGAATAGGTTGATGGAATATGACCCATTCAGTAGGCGACCTT